GGGGGGGGGTCTAATAGAATGTTTTTGCAATTCAGTATGTAATACAATATATGGAATGAAATACATTATTCATCCTGTTTGTTTCATATTTAAGGTTTACACAACATTCATACAAATTGCATAATTATCATTTTCCAATTCAGCGTTACGTGATGATTCAAAACGCTGTCAATTATTTGATAACAATCAAGTCGTTATAGATTCGTCAATCGCGAAATTATATTTATAGCTTTGTGCAAACTAAATTAAAGACATTGTAGCGAAACGGAGTCTTTTAAATAACATTGTTCAAAATACTATTGATAGCTTAAGATTGCATAAAACACCTATAATATCATGTCAGTTGAAGTGCATAATAGATCAAGCTATTTTACGCATGAAACACACATAACTATATAAGATTAATAAGTTTAAGTGCATAGTTGATCAAGCTTTTTTACGCATGAAACACACATAACTATAAGTTTAAGTGATAATTGATCAAGCTATTTAACGCATGATAGTCAACTGCTCTTTTATGCAATATGGCATTCATCGTAATTATTGTCAATTTTATTCTAATAAAGGTACGCGTGTTCATCTTATATCGATAATGAACGGAACATTTACTTTTTACTGGAAATATCTGATCATGATCGCATACAGGCTAGTAGACGTCACCCAAATACTCGTGATTTTTTCTCCATCCATGATATGTCCAGAATATAGATCTTATTCACAAATTATTGGACAGTTACTTTAGTGCATCAAATACTACATTTATATCGTTAATAATTATATTCATCGTTTATTAATCTAATGCGACAGTCACGTTGCAACAAGTGTGTATTAAATTTGTATTCATGTACACACTGCATACACACAAACATTTTTTTTTCGCGGTGTTTGAAAATCAAGCAGGCAGTACATTGTACACATAATTCTTTATTCGGCTGTCTGTCAAATTCGGCCAATGGGCAGGGGACTATTATAATGATTGCACATTTTATTTTGTTCTTCGATAAACGATTAGTGCATTAGAGAGAAGCCGATATTTCAATGAACGGGCTGGACAATTAGAATATAAGTAGATAATGCACCTAAAATAGAGAAAAGGGGAATAGCGCAAGCCGTGCATAATTTAATCCCCCGCCCCTTCCCCTCCCCCTTCCCCTTAGATGGAGTGTGTAGTCATGTCACAATGAGAACAAAAGCCCAAGATGAATCGGCCGCCGCGCCGTACTGGCTCGAATCATAGATAACATCCGGAAGATTAGAAGAGAGAGAGAGAGAGAGAGAGAGAGAGAGAGAGAAAAAGCGGGGGGGGGGGGGGGGGTCTAATAGAATGTTTTTCAATTCAATATGTAAATCAATATATGGAATGAAATACATTGATCATCGTGATTTTTTCATATTCATACAAATGGCATATTTATCTTTTTCCAATTCAGTGGTATGTGATGATACAAAACGCAGCAATTAGTTATTAACTAGCAGATATAGATTTCGTCAATCTCGAAATAATATATATAGTTTTGTACGAACAATCGCATATACACACCAACTTAAAGACATTGTAGCGAAACGGAGTCTTTTAAATAATATAGTACAAAATAGTATTGATAGCTTTACTTTGCATAAAACACATAGAATATCATGTCAGTTGAAGTGCATAACAATATAGATCAAGCTATTTTACGCATGAAACACACATAACTATATAAGATTAATAAGTTTAAGTGCATAGTTGATCAAGCTTTTTTACGCATGAAACACACATAACTATAAGTTTAAGTGATAATTGATCAAGCTATTTAACGCATGATAGTTAACTGCTCTTTTATGCAATATGGCATTTATCGTAATTATTGTCAATTTTATTCTAATAAAGGTACGCGTGTTCATCTTATATCGATAACGAACGGAACATTTACTTTTTACTGGAAATATCTGATCATGATCGCATACAGGCTAGTAGACGTCACCCAAATACTCGTGATTTTTTCTCCATCCATGATATGTCCAGAATATAGATCTTATTCACAAATTATTGGACAGTTACTTTAGTGCATCAAATACTACATTTATATCGTTAATAATTATATTCATCGTTTATTAATCTAATGCGACAGTCATGTTGCAACAAGTGTGTATTAAATTTGTATTCATGTACACACTGCATACACACAAACATATTTTTTCGCGGTGTTTGAAAATCAAGCAGGCAGTACATTGTACACATAATTCTTTATTCGGCTGTCTGTCAAATTCGGCCAATGGGCAGGGGACTATTATAATGATTGCACATTTTATTTTGTTCTTCGATAAACGATTAGTGCATTAGAGAGAAGCCGATATTTCAATGAACGGGCTGGACAATTAGAATATAAGTAGATAATGCACCTAAAATAGAGAAAAGGGGAATAGCGCAAGCCGTGCATAATTTAATCCCCCGCCCCTTCCCCTCCCCCTTCCCCTTAGATGGAGTGTGTAGTCATGTCACAATGAGAACAAAAGCCCAAGATGAATCGGCCGCCGCGCCGTACTGGCTCGAATCATAGATAACATCCGGAAGATTAGAAGAGAGAGAGAGAGAGAGAGAGAGAGAGAGAGAGAAAAAGCGGGGGGGGGGGGGGGGGTCTAATAGAATGTTTTTCAATTCAATATGTAAATCAATATATGGAATGAAATACATTGATCATCGTGATTTTTTCATATTCATACAAATGGCATATTTATCTTTTTCCAATTAAGTGGTATGTGATGATACAAAACGCAGCAATTATTTATTAACTAGCAGATATAGATTTCGTCAATCTCGAAATAATATATATAGTTTTGTACGAACAATCGCATATACACACCAACTTAAAGACATTGTAGCGAAACGGAGTCTTTTAAATAATAAAGTACAAAATAGTATTGATAGCTTTACTTTGCATAAAACACATAGAATATCATGTCAGTTGAAGTGCATAACAATATAGATCAAGCTATTTTACGCATGAAACACACATAACTATGTAAGTTTAATAAGTTTAAGTGCATAATAATATTGATCAAGCTATTTAACGCATGATAGTCAAATGCACTTTTATGCAATATGGCATTCATCGTAATTATTGTCAATTTTATTCTAATAATGGTACCTGGTTCATCTTATATCGGTAATGAATGGAACATTTTCGAATGGAAATATCTGATCAGGATCACATGCAGGCTAGTAGAACACCACTCAAGTACTCGTGATTTTCTCTATCAATGACATGTCTAGAATATAGATCTTATTCACAAATTATTGGACAGTTACTTTAGTGCATCAAATACTACATTTATATCGTTAATAATTATATTCATCGTTTATTAATCTAATGCGACAGTCATGTTGCAACAAGTGTGTATTAAATTTGTATTCATGTACACACTGCATACACACAAACATTTTTTTTCGCGGTGTTTGAAAATCAAGCAGGCAGTACATTGTACACATACTTCTTTATTCGGCTGTCTGTCAAATTCGGCCAATGGGCAGGGGACTATTATAATGATTGCACATTTTATTTTGTTCTTCGATAAACGATTAGTGCATTAGAGAGAAGTCGATATTTCAAAGAACGGGCTGGACATTCAGAATATAAGTAGAAAATGCACCTAAAATAGAGAAAAGGGGAATAGCGCACGCCATGCATAATCCCCCCTTCCCCTCCCCCTTCCCCTGAGATGGAGTGTATAGTCATGTCTCAATGAGGACAAAAGCCCAAGATGAATCGGCCGCCGCGCCGTACTGGCTCGAATCATAGATAACATCCGGAAGATTAGATGAGAGAGAGAGAGAGGGGGGGGGGGGGGGGGGGGTCTAATACAATGTTTTGCAATTCAATATGTAAATCAATATATGAAATGAAATACATTGATCATCATGGTTTTTTATATTCATACAGATTGCATATTTATCTTAGTCCAATTCAGTGTTATGTGATGATACAAACCGCTGTCAATTATTTAATAACAATCAAGCCGATATAGATTTCGTCAATCTCGAAATAATATTTATAGCTTTGTACCAAAAAACGCATGTACACACCAACTTAAAGACATACATGTAGTATCGAAACCGAGTCTTTTAAGTAATATAGTAAAAAATAGTATTGATAGCTTTACATTGCATAAAACACGTAGAATATCATGTCAGTTGAAGTGCATAATAATATAGATCAAGCTAAAGTAGTTTACGCATGAAACACATATAATTATTGAAGTTTAAGTGCATAATCAATAATTATTATTGATCAAGCTATTATACGCATGATAGATGATCAGGATCGCATGCAGGCTACTAGAACACCACTCAAGTACTCGTGATTTTTTCTTTTAATGACATGTCCAGAATAATATTGATCTTATCAACAAATTATTGGACAGTTACTTTAGTTCATCATGTACCCCCCCCCGCTCCTTTTTTCCGGCTATCGACTCAAGCATTTCATGATAGTTGGCCTATGCATTTATCTTGATTCTTTGATTATATATATATATATGTATATATATATATATGTATGCATTTTGTGTGTGCGTGTGTGTGTGTTTATTTCAGTTGTCACTTTTTATGTAAATACATTTTATTATATACTATTATTTTTATTTGAATGGTTTTTTATTTGATTTATCAATAAATGCAGTAACATCTGCACAAAAAAATACAGTGTTATCGTTCATATATTCGTCATTTATTAATCTAAAGCGACAGTCCTTTTGCTACAAGTGTGTATTACATTTGTATTTATGTACACATTGCATTATATACTTCAACATATTCTTCGCGGTGTTTGAAAATCAAGCAGGCAGTACATTGTACACATAATTTTTTATTCGGCTGTCTGTCACATTCGGCCAATGGGCAAGGGACTATAATATAATGATTGTACATTTTTTTTTGTTCCTCGTTAAACGTTAAGTGCATCAGAGAGAAGCCGATATTTCAATGAAGGGGCTGGACATTGAATAGATGCTCTCTTTGACCCGTATTATGTCTAATTATCAAAGGATTCTTTCGTAAACTTCTGCATTTCGCACGTCGTATATAGACGGCTTCGGCGACGCATCAAAGGTATGCGCATCACGCGTGCATGCGATCGGACCAGAGGCTTTTCATTGGTCAATCGCGACGAGGTCCTTTCGCCTTCTCGCCATTCATTCGTCCGAAGTAAACAAAAGCAGCGATGGCTAGATGGCTTCGTGGCTAGGCCCTATAAAGACCTCCCTGATTAAGACGATGGACATTCGCGCTTTCGTTTTTGACCTCGTACATCGTTAAGACTACATTAGAATAACTTATTTGATACCGGAAACCGTTAGTGTTATTGCACTGTCAAAGCTATTGGACATAACTTATTTGATACCGGAAACTGTTGAGTGTTATTGCACTGTCAAAGCTATTGGACATAACTTATTTGATACCGGAAACTGTTAGTGTTATTGCACTGTCAAAGCTATTGGACAGCCTTGGACTGTTCGACAATGCCCAGACCAGCGAAACGTGTTGCCCACGCCAGGGATCCAGACTGCGGCGTGTGGCTGTTGGCCACAATCCTTACAGAGGATGATGATGCTGTCAAAGTGAGGTAAGTTAGTTATGGTATATCTGTACTTTCTATAATAATGACTTCCATTGGATTTTTTTTTACTCAGCAACATAATTATGTATAATAGGAAAGAAAATCAACAAGTCTGGCGATGAATTAAAGCATAAATATTTTTTTTGGAATAATTGAAATTGAATGGGGCTCGTTCTCAGGTTATAGGTTTTCCGTCCATATTTATTTTTTATTCGATTTCATTTAATTGGAAATCGTACCGAAACACTAACAGAGAGGACATTCCATCTCTAATCTCGTCTATAATTTTGGGGCAAAATTATTTGTACAAATACATGTATCTATAGCCTACAGGATAGTAACACTTATATTGTCATGCATATTTGTAATTGGTACCTTATTATAGCCCAGTAATTTTAGGCCATTACATTTTTTTTTACATATTTATCGTCCTCACCGCTTTCTTTTTGTGGGCCGACTCCTATTTTTGGGGGTGAAATTTTGAAGAAAAAAACACATTAAAATGGATCTATTTCTGATTTGAAAAATAGCTCGACTGTCGGGGAAAATGTACCGAGCGGCCATTTTGAAGAAGAAATAAAAGTGCCTCCTTCCTTTTTTTCAAAAAAGCTGGACGCTAAACATGTTTTTGTTTTATTATTTGGCCTTAGGGCTAATGTTAGAATAAACGGACTATCCGCTGGTATATATTTAGTGGCTTGGTTATAATGTGTGGCTAATAATGTTCAATTTTATGTCTTGTGCAGTTGGAAAAACCATGGTGGGACAGCATTTGTTGCCCCTGATGAGGTGAGGGAAGCTTGCATCAAACGTCCAGTGAAGCTGTTGCCAAAGTGGTGGCCATCGTCGCAACCTTTTCATCTGCAGAGAGGGGATCAAGTTCAGCTCGTGACGGGATATGGAGTAAGAGGAGACGTGCTGCATGTCGAAACTAACGATCCGTTTAATTGTGAGGTAATTATACTTCCGAGTTGTTCCATTGATAATCATATCATTAAAGGGACTTAGTAAACTTTCCAAATCCTCGAAATCCAATCATAATAGCGGTTCCCTACCTTGTTTGTATTTGTATTATCAAAAAAAACATTGGGCAGATATCTTTTTTTCCAAATTTCATTTTCGTTAAAAAGAAATAACGATTGAAGTGTTCAGATGTAAACTTATTCACTGGACCGTCAACACAATGTACAGAGTGAATATCACCTTGCATTTTAATTCATGACTCGGCCATGTAACGTCTATTCAACTTGAAATGGCACACATCTGCCAGTGGACCTGTCAGATAACAATATACATTGTATCAACCACTCATCACTTTTTGCACATGTCAACACAGTTACTAGATCCTTTCATAGGTACTACCGTGCACGTATGTCCTATTTGCAGCCAACATCAAATTCTGTACAATTACTTTGCATAAAGTGGCGTTATTATAGCAGATGGAAGAGTTCAATGATTTCTTATATTTTATTATTTCACATCCCCTTTTCAGCTCATCACAGCAGAGCACCCTGATCGGATGCTTCGTTATGAACATCTGGCAGAGAAGATAGACGAGCCGGAGAGAGGACAGGAGGAGGATGGAGACATGCACGAGGATAGCGATGCTGACATGATGGAGGAGGATGACATGGTCGAGGATGGCATGGTCGAGGAGGATGACATGGTCGAGGAGGATGGTGACGAGGATGTAAGTATCACCATGTGCTAATTTTAATGAATTGAGAGGTATAGCTCAATGTCTCAGTATACTAAACAAATAAATAAAAATGTCACTTATTAAAAAATAATAATAAAAACAGTTCAATCTCGAATAAATATTCTTAGTAGTTATAGCTTTGTTATTCAAGTACTGTCTGTTTCATTATGAAAATGACACTCAGTATATATGTTTCTAAGTAATTTTTACAGTCAATTGTTCTGGACATAGCACAACCGTGTTCAGTCATTTATGTAATAGTCCCTTTTCCTGCTCTGGCAGCAGCTCCGCCACGGTACTTGTACTTGTCCTCTTTCATGCTCTGCTATCAACCTTTCACCACAATGTAACCATCTCAAAATATGTGAAGTCAATAATGTATTTGTTTTCTTTCAGGCTCAGCCACCAGCTGCACCACCACAAGCTCCACCACAAGCTCCACCACAAGCTCCACCACAAGCTCCACCACAAGCTCCACCACAAGCTCCACGTCAAGCCCCTAGACGAGCTCAGCGGCAACAGGGAGTCCGAACACATGTCCAAAAGAAGGTGAACAACAATACTACTCTCATATTAACTGAAAGACAAAAGTTTTAAAGCTGTACAGTGCACATTTTATATCACATTTTAAAGGGATAGTTTAGTTTTGGTCAAACTGAATTTAAGTAACCAAAATCTACATGCTCACCAAGCTAATACTTACATGTATACCTCCATCATTCCCGAAATATATGCAAAATCAGCTAAAAGACATTCAAAAGAGCTAATAACTCAGGAGGGTGCTCTCTAAAAAATCTATTTGATTGGTTCCTATACATTGTATGTCGGCAGAGCTGTGTGCAATATAAATGTAGAATTATTATTATTATCCATTTTATATTAAAAATTTCGCATGTGATGCTTTGTTAAAGATAATCAACACCTATTTTAAACCAACACTCAACTATCCCTTTAGCAATGTCCATCTTATCTCTCTTTTCCTTTTCCATCTTCTACTTATCCTTCTTCTCTTCCCACTTCTTCCTTTTCTTCTCCTTCTTATCTTCTAGCTCCTTTTCTGCAGCCATTTTGTATTCTTATTTGTATACTACTTTTTTCTCTAATGTTTTCTTTCTATTTTCTCATCTACTTTAAACAGTTTAGTTCTTGAATTCTTAGATTTTCATATCGAGTCATCCACTGATCTTTTTTTGTGTTCCCTATCTCATTGCTTTTCTGAAATCACATTGTCTATTTGTTCTTTAATATCCCCCCCCCCCCCCCCCCCCCCCCCCCACCCCCCCCCCCCCCCCCCCCCCCCCCCCACCCCCCCCCCCCCCCCCCACCCCCCCCCCCGTTATGTAAATACATGCAAAACCATCTCTTACCATTATAGTGGCAAAGGAGGGGGCGGGCCTGGGGCACATGCCCCCTCCAATTATTTGCCCAAAACAATAAAAACTAAATTTAATAAGAGGGGGGGGGGGGGGGTCTGTGTGAATATATGGATACATATGATCATTCATAAAGAAGTATAATTATATCGTAGCAATGAAGTTTGTGATGTGTTTATTGAAAACCCAAATTATTCAATTCCCTCTTTGTTTTTCATTGTTTCATCTGTGCAGCTTGCTACCGTTCTGGACGAGGTAAACCCGCCAGATATACTGGAAATTCCTGCTGGGATGCTGGCCCCTCTCGAGGAGGATGTGATGGTGGTTGCCGCCAACAGCCTACGAGAGCAGGTCCGGAATTTGGAGAAGGCTCCAACCTTCCAGCTCCCGGCAGCCGTGGGAGAGGGATTTGTCCTTCAACAGAACATCCGAATCATGGAGCGAAATGCAGAGCTGGAGTCCGACAACAAGAACCTAACTGAACGCGTCGAGCTTCTGGAGATGAGGATGGCCACCATGGAAAGAAGGATGGCAGAGATCACTTCTTTGGAGAGGCTGCCGCCTACTACACCTCTAAGCTCCATCAACACAAGCTCCAGCACCAGCACCACCTCAAGCCCCAGCACCAGCACCCCACATCGTCTAGTCACCCGGCCCCCTCTCCGCCCAATAGCGATGAACGAACAAGGACGTGGGATTACAGAGGATCTGTTGGCGCAGTGCCGATTGAACGCCGACGACATCAAGATTGTAGCAAGGAAGCTTGCCAGTGCAATCTTTTCTGAGGAAGAGAGGTTGAAGGGGTGCCTGTCCGGTAAAAGAGGACAGGCACTAGACCCTGCCAAAGTGCACATTCTGAAGGAGAATGTTTTCAGCGTGTGTCCTGTCCCTAGATCCCATCGAGATAAGGCATGGAAAGCTGTAGTTACTGCGGTTGACAACCAGACTAGATACATGAGACTTAAAAAGGGACGAACCCTGTGATTTAAATGTATCTTGTCTGGTTGCCAACAACAACTACTACTGCTTTCCATGCTTTCTCTCGGTGGGATCTGGTGTCAGGACACACGCTGAAAACATTCTCCTTCAGAATGTGCACTTTGTGCACTGGTGTCGTTCTGATACTTCTCTGTTTCTTTTTATTTGGACGCACTGGTCAACTCCTTGCTACAATCTTGATGTCGTCGGCGTTTAATCGGCACTGCGCCAACAGGTCCTCTGTAATCACACGTCCTTGTTCATTCATACATATTTTAAATGTAATACATCTGTAATACATCTGCATTATTGATTGATTCATTATATTCATTGTATATTCAGCTATGTTCGGCGTTTCAAGCGGGAACAAATGCCGTCCATAATATCACTCCGGGGGTTCTCAATTTGAAAGTCTGGTTTCTTTGATTGTTAATTAACCTTATGTGTATTTACAAACGATTTTTGTTGATTGATTTCATTGATTTCATATCCCCTTTTGAATGGTTTGAAATGCCATACACTAAACTCATAATTTGAGAAATAATAGCTTTGCAATGAAGACGAACTTTTAAAATCAAATTATGGAAATGCAAGCATCACTTTAAACAAACAGAACTTTGCTCATTTTTCCTGATTTAGGTGTCATATCAAATGACAGAAAACGAACTTTTTAGAAATGTGATTTTGTTCTTTGTTAGGGGCTACTTTTCCATTGGCCTTGGAATATCAAGGGGGCTATTTTTTTGTTACGATTGTACTAATTCTCTCATGACAGGGATTACGGTCTAAACGGTATGATACAAATCAAAATTAGCCAGCAATAATCGAAACATTTACAATGAAATGTAAAATAAATACAAAAATACAGCCCTCGGTTTACAAATAACACTCGTAAATTACCAGTTTCGGTATCATATTGGTCCGAGATGTACATTATTTCATCTTGAACATTGATAAGGCGAAACGACCTTTTGTGTTTAGTTAATTGCCCAATTACAATTTACATGTGTTCAATAAATGAATCATTGTTAATTGGAAACAATAATGTGTGTTTTAACGTCTATTATTTTGTTTGTGCGTGGGTATAAATTTGAATTTGCATGATTGCGTGAAAGTGTGTCTGTACGTGTGTGTCAGTATGCAAAGGAGTTGTACAGTGCGTCCCAATAAAAAAGAAACAGAGAAGTATCAATGTTTTATCATAACTTAATTATAATTAATAATTGACACATATTTGCAAAGCTTAGATCCTCCTCTTTCATTTGATGCTACTCATATGATGCATATTTCATGCATGAGTGATTAAAAGCAATTTGAAGATAGGCAATAATATAATAAATCTCTCGGAATAGGTAAAGAAGAAAGAAAATTCTGACGAAATGAATAGGTGGTCCAGAGCTGCCAAGTAGTACGTTTTTAACGTATTAATACGTTTTTGGGGGGTAAAATACGTTTGTACGTTTTGCTGTGCTAAAATAATTTTTTCGAAAGTTTCAAGTATGGCTGTGCAAACGTGGCTGGCTGTGAGAACGAGCGTATGCAGAGTTGTGCTATTGCTTTGTATTGGCGATTCCTGCAGCGCGCACGCATCCCCATTGCACACAACACAGGGGATGTACACCACTCAAAGACGTGCACATTTCCCCAGTCCATGCATACAGTACGGTACATGTACCGAGTATAGAGCCAGCGAATCCAATTGCCATATCCTTAACACACGCAAAATACATACCAATGCATTACACACATTGTCACTCACTAACAGGGCATGCCTCCCTGCACTAACTACTAGTACAAGAAAGTCCCGTTGTCACTTCCAAAAATCCATCCTAAAAGCCAAATTTTGCCGTCAAAAATGCGAAATCAGAGCCATATTTCCAAAGCATGCGGGGGCTTAGCCCAGTTTTAAGAAAAAGTTTCTCCAAAAAAGCGCTAAAAATCAAGAAATCTGTGATTTTATTACAAGTTTTTTCGATTTTTCGATTTTTCGAATGTGATAGTATCTTCAAAAAGTCAAATGAAAAACAAACACCGGACCCTGCTAATGCATTGACTTTGTGTACAAATTGATTCGACCCTCATATTCATTGACTTAGCGTTTTATTTTTGAGATTTTCTAAAATTCTGTGATGTTTTTAAATTATTAAATTTTTCGATAAAATAGGTAAATATATTTAACATATATTTTTAAAAGTACAATTTTTTTTCCCTTGAAAATGTATTTTTTTTTTACTTTTTTTTTTTTTTTAAATTGATAGATCGGCAGCTGTCAATGATTGAACACATTTTTAATCAAAGAAACATAGTTGCAATAGTATTTTACAGGGAAAATAACGAAAAAAAAATAAAAACAGGCAAAATATGTTTTTTCACCTAAAAATATGCTTTTTCAAGCTGAATAATATGTTTTTTGAGAATGACAGGTTGGCAGCTCTGGTGGTCTGTCGTTGACAGACCACCTAATCACAAAAACGCTTAAATACAGCCCCTGCATAGCACCTGGAGAGCTCTACGAACGCTGATGATAATTATGTGTGAGATCATGATTGGCACAAGCCTGTTTTTTCATCTTCTCTCGAGTTCTTTCGCTTACTTCACTACCGTCAGGCTAACTGTATAATCTATTGCCTCACTCTACACCCCTCACGGTTTTATTTTTATAAATGCAGCGATACAAAAATAAAGGAATCTGTCGCTTGTAAACAAAAGAAGACGACATTAACCGTATTTTATACATCAGTGAGATGAACTAATATTTATACCATAATATATCCTTTTTTAATTTGGATTGGTGAAGGGCAGGTGGGGGGGGGGGGGGTAGGCTGACAGTATTGTATCAGTACTAGGGGCTGGGAGGATAATGTTATTTTCAAAACTGGTTTTTACACCATAATACTCTACATGATCATTTTTAGATTGGTGACGGGAGTGTGGGGAGAGGGTGGGGTGGCGGTAGTGTCTCGGTGCTGGGGGGAGGATACTGATTAATTGTTTGCAAGAGGTGACTTGTGGAAAAACGTCATGATTCGGCGGGCGGGGGGATTGGGGTAGCAGTAATGTCTCAGGATAATGATTATTTGCTACAAGGTAGCTTGTGAACAAACTTACGCATAGTGCAAGACAATAAAGCCATGAACACCCTCATATACGTACAGATACACATTTTACAGATAAGAGAAATAAAAAACGAACAACAAAAATGTGGCTTGTAAAGAGCCATGGGTCATTGTGGAAGTAGCAGGCACGTAGCCACGTGAAGGGGGGGGGGGGGGTGCCCCCCCCCAAAAAAAATGTCCAAGATCGGGCTTTCATGACAAAGAGTAAGCCTACGCAATGACAGAAATGTTTTAAGAAAATGAATGCCAATCTCATCGGCGCTTGAGAAGGAAAAAAAGATATAGATCGCGGGAGATAAATAAGTAAAACAAATAAATATCGCTGATGTTACAGACTTTTATGACATAAAGTAAGCCTACGCAATGACAAAAATGATTGAAGAAAATGAATGCCAATATCACAGAACTACACATGCAACTACACTGTGAAGATCACTCCCGGCCCTTGGCTCATGAATATAACTGTCAGATCCTGAATAGGGGCTATGATAGGATTAAGGCGATTAGCAGGTAATCCCTTATAAGGGATTACGAACAACCCTGTAAATGCATGCTCCTTCTAATGATGTCGCTTGAATCCACATTGTCTTTGAAGAAATGATTCACTTACCTGAATAAATGTATACTGCGTCACTTCATCATCAGCCCATCACATCATCATCATCATCATCATCTACCATCACTTCATCGTCATGTTAGTGTCAACATCATCATTATTTTTAAATGCGCAAATCTGATTTGTTGAATGAAACGCTTACAAAAAAAATATTAAAGTAAAGCGTCTTTACTTTCAATCGATTGCAACTATTTGTGCTACTTGGCCCACTTCCATTATCATCACCATCGCTTTTCTTTATCTTCATCGCAACGAATATGCCAAATATCACATATTCATGAGCTAGAAAAAATATTGATATCCGTAACATACACCTGCTTTTCAGGACTAATAGCTTGTATTGGATATTGCCACATTGATAGCAAAGTATTCATAATTGCATGCATATCATTATATTGGTATTGTATATGGGATATAATGTACAAACTGTACATCCAAATGAAGACTAAATAAAGGATGACGAGGATGATGTGCGATCTGGTGAGGAACCAAAGGAGAAGAGGGCATAGACTGTAAAATTTATACAGAACTTGGTGGAAACAGGTAGGTAATTGATATTGTTCTCGAAGTATTTGTCATAAAAATACATTCACTACTAATCGTAGTCGTAAATATTGGCTTGATTGAGGCAGTGAGGGGTCTTGGCCTTGGTTATCACACCCCTAGGAATCACGGGCGGTTCGTGGCTTGACGTTTCTTGGTTGGAGTGGCAGTAGGGTTTGGAAGGGGGGGGGGGGGGGGGTATTTTATAATCTTGACGTACATTAGTGAGAGGAACTAATATTTATGCCATAATATATACTTCTTTTAATTTGGATTGGTGAAGGGAGGGGGGGGGGGGGGGGGTAGGCTGGCTCCATAATACTCTATGTATAACGGGATTTTAAATCAGAACAAAGCATGCATAAAAAAGTAGTAGGGCCTACAAACACCAGTCATTTTTCAGAAAATCCGTTGTGAAAAACAAGGAAAGAACTCGAAATAGCATAAATTATTTTTGAGACTGAATATCATCATATAATCGAGTGTCAAAGAAACAAGATAAAATGAACACCAGCAAGCTAAATTGAAAACACGAGCGATGCTCGAAATGCGACTGAAAAGCATGCAAGGCAACAACAAAAAACATGTCAAACTATAACTGCAAAATGCAACAACAATTATAACAACACCAACAACAGCGAGGCCCTAGCGCTGACGGTCTACACCGCCATAGATCCCCCGTTCCGCCCACGTCAATTTGCCTATTACGCTCGGCTAGCTCCTCCCCTTCTCTAAAGCAGTCGCTATGCGGAAATAGCGTTCCACTAGCTACTGTATACTGTGCGGGTAAAAAAGTGTGACGTAAAAAGACAGATATTGGAGGCATTTCCGCTGAAAAATTAACCAGGTTTTGAGGGATATATCTCGGGAATGAAGCAATTGTAAGTCATGAAAATTGACATATATCATTTGGATGGACATTTCTGAATTTTTGTGTTTAAAAATAGTGAATTCACAGGAAAATCGCTAAGTTAAAAAGATCGTTCTTCGTGATTGTATTCGACCACGTTGTGAGCAAGTTTCCCACGCTGCTATACACTGCTCTCTAAATATTCTTTGATATTGCCGACTTGTTGTAGCTTCTTGTAAAGAGACGTACGTCTCTGCGAAATTTACCAGACCCTGTTTGCTTTCAACTGTAATGTTTGGGACATTCCTGGCGCACTCGAAAAATTCCATACCCGTTAATGAACTTCCTAACGGGTATGGGACATTTAACGGCAAGGGGACATTTAACGGCAAGGGGACATTTAACGGCAAGGGGACATTTAACGGCAAGGGACATTTAACGGCAAGGAGACATTTAACGGCAAGGGGACATTTAACGGCAACTACAGAACCGACCCGTTAGTAACGCGTTATTTATAGCGTTAACGTTAAACGCGTTAAATCGTATAGTTTATTTTGACTCATACTGTACATGCCAACTGTTCAGATTAAAGAGGAACATTCCTGTTTTTGGGAGAAGATAATTATCATTTTAATGCAGGTGTTCTTCTTCCTGTACAAATTTGTCTGTAGTATTGAATAGTAGAGTTAGGGTTGTTTCTCTTTTTTTTGAAAATAGCATAATTTGTACAGATTTCTGATTTTCAAATGTTGGCATGTATGTGTATGTCAGTTAAAGCAATGACATTAGTTTATAAAGTCATCAGTAGGTTTTGGTCCATATACCATGAGTAGCTACACTTTAATCTAAAAGCTGTAAACACAATATTTCTATAGCAACATACTTCTATATACAAAGATTGTAGGAGGGGATAAAGTAACAATTACAAGAACTGTTGAATTAAAAGATTTGTACTAAAGAGAAGAGTTGGTTTGTCAAGTCCTTAACCCATAATGTTCATTTAGTGTGAGGTCACTAGTGTTTGAAAATATGAGCAAAGCTAGTTTCAAGTATTATATGACATGAACTATTGCTGTGAAGTTTTCATGGAGAGAAACGCTAAGGAGAAAAGCTGTTATCTCAAAGCTTCACCCAGTTTCAATTATCTGTAAATTGTTTGTGTATACACCAATGTTAAAGATGACCGTTTTCTTTTGTAGCCTGGGGGGGGGGGGGGGGGGGGGAGGGTGCAGCATTACCTAAGATTTGTATACATATATTTTCTAATTATATTACAGAGCACTTTTTTTATTCTCAAAGGGTCTACAAAATACAAGCAATACTTTTTTAATAGACTCCTCCACTATGTTTTACCACTGTGCCAATCTTAATGATGTATTTAAATAATTGTATAATCATTTGTAATATGTTTGATATTATGTTTTGATGTGGAAAAAATAAGGAAACCTTAAAACATTCCCCTTACAGACCGAAGCAAGCAGTCCCGACAGCCAGCATAGCAAGCAGCCGTCTTGAAGCCCCCAGCCAGAGCCAGAGGGGCGCTCAGGAGCGGGCGGGGCTACGTGTTCTCCCCCATCAGTTCTCTACCCAGCATGAGATGAGAGAGGCTGTACGTCAGAGACTCCATGTACCAAGCAGTCTACTTAGTCCAGGTACCCCCGAGGGAGAGAGAGCTGTTCCTGTTACTCCTGCTCAACCTGGTATGTGCGTCTTAGACAATTATGTTAGCCCTTGTGTATTTTGTTAATAATAATAATAACAATAATAATGATGATGATGATGATGATGGGAGGAGATGCTGATATTTCTCAACATACATATTTATTGAAAATGTTTCGCTGATGTTTGTTTTATTAATAATAATAATAATAATATTCAATTGTTATATAGCGCTTAATCAAAATGTCTCTAAGCGCTTTACAAATATACTATTACCCCGGTCATTGGATTCACTGCTTGCCCGCACACAATGTGTGCACAATGGTTATGTTCATGTCCCAAACACTTTGAGCAGACATTTTGTTATTGCTTCCAAAACACCTATTGTACATTCAATCTTTAAAAAATGGGAGAAATAAGATATTTATGTCTCATGCGAGTATAGTGAGAATCATTTACTTGTGAAGTAATCCTGTGAAATCTCGAAATAGATTTTCAGATAGAACGTAAAAAGAATGTTCTGGTTCTGTGTTTTACATACTCCTCTTTTTTTCTTCTTAATTTCAGCAGTATTGTATTTCTTAGATTTGTTCTAGGCTGTGAAATGTTAATTTTAGCAGTATTTTTTATAAATCTTTCCTTATTGTTTCCTTTTTTATGCCTCCGCCACCGAAGGTGGTGCCGGAGGCATCATGTTTTCGGGTTGTCCGTCCGTACGTCCGTACGTCCGTCCGTACATCCGTCCGTCCGTCCCGTTTGACCGTTATCACAATATCTCAAGAACCATTTGAGATTTAAACTTCAAACTTAAGGATAGTATGTATCACCAAAGGAAGACGATCTGATTAGATTTTGGAGCACGTAGGTCAAAGGTCAAGGGTCACAGAGGTCAACTTATGAAATTCCATACATTGAGATTGTTATCATGATATCTCAAGAACCACTGGAGATTTAAACTTCAAACTTAGTGATAGTGTGTATCACTATAGGAAAACAATCTGATTACATTTTGGAGCACGTAGGTCAAAGGTCAAGGGTCATAGAGGTCAACTTATGAAATTCCATACATTGAGATTGTTATGATATCTCAAGAACCACTGGAGATGTAAAAACTTCAAACTTAAGGATAGTATGTATCACCATAGGAAGACGATCTGATTAGATTTTGGAGCACGTAGGTCAAAGGTCAAGGGTCACAGAGGTCAACTTATGAAATTCCATACATTGAGATTGTTATCATAATATCTCAAGAACCACTGGAGATTTAAACTTCAAACTTAATGATAGTGTGTATCACCATAGGAAGACAATCTGATTAGATTTTGGAGCACGTAGGTCAAAGGTCAAAGGCCACAGCGCACATTATGAATGCAAAAACAGCTTGTGATCGCTTTGATGGATTGATGGATTCATGCCAAAATTAGGTCATGTTTGTTACTTGCAGAGCCAATGAACTGAGTAGATTCTTGGTTCATAAGGTCAAAGGTCAAAGGTCATGGGCCCATTATGTATGCAAAAATAGCTTGTGAACGCATTCTCATTAGAACTGACAGATGGATTACTATTTAACTCAGAACATCTTGCAGAGCCAATGAACTGAGTAGATTTTATGGTCATGAGGTCAAAGATCAAAGGGTCATATATGTATATGAGAAATTGCTTGTAATCACAATATTCTGAGAACCTGTCAATGGATTACCATTGAACGTGAATTCAATTTTTTTTTCTGTTTTGGTTTGTAAAATTGCTCTATAACGGAGGCATCATTTTCGACTGCGCGCAGTCGAATTCCATCTAGTTTCTCTCTGTCTTCTCATCAGATTTTGGGGAGGCAAGTCCACCGCTAACCATCATAGCCAGCAAGCCTGGAATGAGTGCCTTTCAGAAGAGTTTAATGTCAACACCCTACCTATCTGAAGACTGGGTTCATGATTTGTAAGTTTGTTTTCTTTGCTTCAAGGGGAAAATAGATTTCTTTCACTGTTTTTTTTCTTCATATTAGGGTCCATAGGTTAAAGTTTATAACCTTTCAATCTTACTTTACTTTGCTTTAATTTAATCCAACGATGTTTGTAGGACTAGACTTGTTCGTAAATCATTTTGGTTTGGAACAGATATAATACTACTTGGTCATCAGATTCAGGTCATATACCAAGTTTAAAGTAGAACTTGACTCTATCAAAGTATCAATATTAAGTTATGGTTTTAAAACAACAGATGATAGCAACAACAAAATATAGATCTGAATAAGGAATAACAATTATACAATTTTTTTTACCATTTTTGTTTTGTGACTTTTATTTTGAAAGTTTCTTTGTGTGAAATAGGGCTCATATTCATAAAATCTTACTAAGCTTACATGTAGTTTTCAACTATGTACATGTACTTTAGCCTATGTAATTAGTTGACAACTAGCTTTGTAAGCTTTTATGAATATGGCCCAGGTAGCCACGTTTCTTTGTGGAATTCTATGTGTGTATTATTTCTATTTGTTTAAATTCTTATCACCGTACAGAAAAGCCCGCTTTGAATCAAGTGTCCGTGTCAGACAGAGCGAGATTGAGAAGGAGAAATTCAAACTTCAGGGCTATGAAGAGAGGGTAAGAAATCACAAGCAATGATAGATCTCTGTTCTCTTAAATAGTGTGTATGTTTACTTCAGGTTTTTACCTGTTAAAGTCATTAATCAAAAGTCTGTTTTTTCAGGGAAAATACCATATTTCTATTATTCATAATCCAAATTTTTGGGAAACAATGATTAGGAGATTGAACATGTTCTGCAAATATTTTGATTTATGTAATTTAATTGATGTAATTATTAATGATTGAAAAGTAAAGCGGTTGAACACATGTGTTAACCCATTAGCAACTAGCGATTTTGTAAAAATGGCCTATGAATCACTGGGAGGTGTAGAAATGTTGCTCTCATTTTTGACAGTGTTCTGAACAGTATGATACATGCACTATTTTCTATGCAGAATCCTACTATAGAAATCGTAAGGCTTGCGCACGTCTAACATTATCATGGTAGACCCTAGATCGGATACTATAGCGCGTTGAAAACGTACGAAACTGGCGGTTCAGTGAGTAAAAGGAGGGGCGGGTTTGGGCGGTAAAGTTGCTAAAGGGTAGGGAGACCTTTTGGTCACAGGAATTTATCTTTTTTCTACCCTGGCATCCTGGAGAATTAGGTATAAAATGTGCTCTTAATTCCTATTACATGTATTTATTGATTATACTTCTATTGTGCTTTATGCAATTTACTTTGTATTTGTGATCGAGTGATTGCCAAATAAATAGTAATACCAAAATAAAATGGAATTAACAAAAGCTTTAAAGTAGTCACCCGAAAAATCAAAAGTGTTTTGAATCGATGCAAAATTCATATCATTGCAATTCATAAGCCTTACTGATCAAATATAGCAACTTCCCTCTTCAAAATATGTTTGGGGCCCGCAGTAATCATCTCTTAAAAATGTTAATTTTAAGACCAGATTTTCTGCTTTCAGTGGTCCACTGAAGAGCGTCAAGATGTGTGACGTCACAACTAGCCACAAAGCTTTTTACGCCTTTCCATGATATCTATATGATTTTTCAGCAAATTATAGAGGAAATCTTTCCATCCATATATAATTTGTCCATAATTATCAGTTGTCATGATTTTTCTTCGGGTGACTACTTTAATCGTATTATAAAATGCTACATGTATCCTCACCATTTTGATCGCATTCACTTATTCCTGTAACTCCATGCCATTGATGAATATTGTAATTTCCATTATCTTCTCAGAGAGCTGAAGGACAGGCTAAAGCCAGGGAAGTGGTGAGTTTCAGGAAGTCTTTATGGCTCCCATCATGTGTGCATATTCAATACACCAGTTTACGTGTAATTGATGAGTAAACAAAGCCAATGACCTAAAGGTCGGTGGTATTTATGCGTAAATAAAGATTGTGCCCATGCAAATGATGTGCGCGCACAACACAGCGCGCAGGCAGTGATGTCATCATAATTTGCATGGGCGCAATCTTAACTTACGCATAAACCACTGACCTCTAGGTCATTGGCTTTGTTTACTCGCCAATTAAAATGGCGCCCCTAACCGTAAACTGGTGTATTCAATTCAAATTCAAATTTATTAATTAGCACAAAATAACATGGCATAAAAATAATTTTCAGGCTGTTTCTGCAGTATATCTTACATCAATTGACATACATGTACATGTAATATCAATTTATACAAAATGAGAAATAAATACATTACACAATTAACACAAGTACCAAATGGTATAGGCTTTGGTAAAGAAACATAATGACACACATTACAACCGTAGACATATCAAAAATCACTACTGGTGTTATCACTGTACGGTTAGATAAGGCAGATTAGCAAAGTATAATAAATGTTAAGCTTGAGTTCTGGTAATAATAGAAAATATATTCTGACAGAATCCAACAAAACTTACACTGAATGTTCAAGATTATAAATAGATGACATGTGCCGAACGATTTTGGTAGAAAATATGAACCGGTAGGTAGGGGCCGAGTAATGAGCATAGAAAGATAAGGACAGATGATTTCCAGCAAGTTGTTGTGAGGTTGTTTTTTATTTTACTGGTTCAAACAATCAATCACCTGCAGGATAAACAATCCAGAAGGTATTATAGCCATGTTTTCTCAACATATGCTTCCCATACCAGAGCTCAAGACTAGCTTTAAGATGTAATGTTCAACGCATTGTATTTATTTGTTCAATGTACATACAACAAGGAAATTGTTTTTGCTCACATTTTAAATAAAAGCTCAGATATAGTTTACAAAGAACAGAAATAGGATACAAAAATGGATACATTATTGGTGATGACAAAATAATACATAAGGTTGATTTTTGTTTGGTTATGGCTTGTTTTGTTTCTGCTTCAATTAAAACCAGCTTAATATCAGGTTGGACTTCTGCTTTAGAAGTATTGAATAAACTGATGATATGAGCCCGTTCTTATCTGCCTGTGTTTGGTTTCAAAGATCAATCAGAGGATAAAGAGAGCGTCGGGTTTGCCTGCCGCCGTTGAAGACGTCATCTACCGACCAGAGGAGAAGGAACCAGAGGATGCCATTGCGGTGATCGATGATGATGAGGAAGATGAAGAGGAGGAGGATGACGGTATGGAAGAAGAGGAAGAGGAGGAGCTCCCAGAGCTAACAGATGAGATGGAAGAGGAGATTCGCAATGCCCTTAATCCCAACCCAGCCAGTGAGGGATTGGTTACCGGGTTTAGATTGACCATTAAAAGGAGAGATATGCAGACGCTTGCTGGTTTAAACTGGCTGAATGATGAGGTAGGGGAACCATCTCAAAATATTGTTATATCCCTTATTTTTTTTATCACTAGAGGTGTCTTGGTCTAGTGGATATGGCACTGGACTGTGGATCACTAATGTCCTTTGCCAAGTCAATAGTCTACATTTGCCACTCTCCACCCAGGTGAAGTAAATGAGTACCCGGTATGAAGAAACTCCTTGAATGTTTGGCGCCTTACTATGGCAGGTCAGCTTACAGCCGGGGTAATAATATGATTCTTTGCATTTAGCGCAGTAGAGCATGTTCTTGTAGTTACTGCGCTATATGAGCTGCCAACCAGTACAATTTAATCCTATTTGGTACGATTTTTAGAAGTAAATACGATTTTCCTCAATAAAAAAAGATATATTTACCACAACAACAAAAAAAACGATTTTGTGTATGTGTTCCATTTTTAATGGCAAAATGCCCATTCTGTCCTGTAAAGTATCTTAAAAGCATCTCACATCGGCAATTTGGGGATGTTCATTGGTTCATTGAACACACAAGTCATGACGAAATTGTGCATAATTCAACCAATGATCCATAACAAAAATTCTTCTTCTTATGTAGGAACTATAAGAGGCATTGATCCATGTTTTGTTTTTTCCAATATAATTTTTGTCAGTAAAATACAACTTTTAGGATTAAAGAATACAGTTTTTGAACTCCAGAGGTCGGCAGGTCTGTGTAAATGGACCTATTATTATTATAAATATCAATGAGATGTACATGTATCCATAAATATATATGATTATACCTGAATGCACTTTTGCACCCAACATACAAATGCATTTGAAGATAATTACACAATGCTTTTTAAGTTTATGCATGTTCTTTCTGTGCAAGATATTTTTAATTTACTTGCTCCCTCTATACAGAAAACTTCCACAATCAGTGCCTGTTGGTCCCCCATGATCTTCTTTTTCATATGTTAATTGAGAGCTGAGTTAATGAGGTAGCCACCTGTCAGTGACCTCGCTGTGTGGTCTAATCCCTTCTGGGATTTAATTCAATACCTTTAATTCAATTTTGTTTTCTTTTGATGCAGATCATGAACTTTTATTTTGAAATGCTGAAGGAAAGGAGTAAAGAAGAGGTGAGGAATAGTTTTTATTTGAATTTTGCAAGTCTAGTGTATGTACCGATCTGAAATTTACATGTTTTTTTATTTGACAGATTGGGTATACATGTGCATGCACGACAGAGTTAGGGCACTATTTAAAGAAAAGCTTTACGTGATATTGAAACTGACTTTAATGTGTAAAGATTGTTTATTTAATAACTAAGGGGGAGGAGTAAACCATACTGTTGTTGTTGCTGCTGTAAGCCTTACATTACATACATGTACACCTGATACAGCCTGTGAATATGTCCATGTAGTCTGGGTTTCAACTTTTTTTTAAAGGGGCCTTATTGACATTTGTAGGGTCTATATGCATGAGCCCACTGTTAAAATTTAAAAATATGGGGGAGGGGTCGTAGGTTAGAAATTGGGGTCCTTGTGTCCCGGGCATCTGTTAGTGTCTAGTCTATACCTGGGCCCCGGCTTATAAAGAGTTGATATCAATCGCAACTTATTTGCAATTGATAAACTGCATACATATATGAGACTTTAAACTTGGTATTGATTTGAAGACTTGCTAGTAATTTGGATCAATCGCAAGTCTTCATTAGATAGGGCCCTGATGTTCCTAACCAATGCATTGAATGATCAATTTGTTTGTTTGTTTTTCAGGACTACCCGAGTGTGCATTCTTTCAACACATTCTTCTACCCCAAGTTGATCAACTCTGGTTTCGCCAGCCTTCGTCGATGGACCAAGAAGGTGGACATCTTCACGAAAGACCTGCTTCTGGTTCCGGTCCATCTAGGAATGCATTGGTGTCTAGCGGTAAGTTGATGGTCGTTACGTAGGATAGCATGCAGGGATGCTTTGTTTGATAGATGTTTTACATGGTTTCTTCTAAACAGTCTCGATTAATCGCAACTTATTTGCAATTGATATTAATCACAACTAGGCACATGTGATTGATTCAAATCAATCATAACTCTGTATAAGACGGGCCCAGGTGTTCCTTTCTTGAGAAATGTACAGCCCATGACTCATTATTTTTTAATGCTTAAACCTTTTATTCAGTTTTAGCTATGATATTTCACTCAAGGTTCTAGCCAAAATATTGATAGTTATTTTTCACATTTATAGTACTAGTTGTGTCACATGAGTTTTAGTTTATACACCAACAACACAGATGAAATGCATCCATCACATTGTTGTAATAAGACAAATCCCAATCTACTTTTAAGGTTATGTTATACCGTCATCTTATATAAATGGTACATTTTTTCAATAATATGTAATGTATGTAGCTGCACTGCTACGTCTTAGGTTTCGTTCCAGTGTGTGGTCACTTAATTTCCCCTTAATGGTATTTATCTTTTTCACTTTTCAATTGTCATAGGTCGTGGACTTCAGGAATAAAACCATAGTATTCTATGACTCAATGGGAACCCACAATCAGCAATGTTTAGACGCACTGAGGTGAGTTGTGTTGCTGTAAATAATCAATTAATTTAATTTAAAGAGAAGGTTGAGTTTTGGGGAGAGGTGACAAATAATCTGTGAGCATTATCATTGTTATTATGCAAGTGTGGAAGAACATCAGAGGAAAAATGTTACCTGAAAAGCATGGCTCTTCAAATGCCTTCATATTCTGAATTTGATATGTAATAGCTTAAAAATGAGGTTTACATTTTTATGCCACATGTTCGTTTAGTCCCATATACTACATCTTTCTGTGTACAGCGGTTGTTACTTTTACCAAGACTGGGCCAAATTTCTTATCATTTTGATGATTCCAGAACCTTGCAGTACACACAAATACTTATATGCTACGTGATCAATTTTTCTGAACGATTCCACACCGTTTCTTTCACAATGCAATCGCACGGCCAGAACTCAACTTTAACTTTGAGACATTGAATATAATGGCATATGTATCTTCAATAAATTAACACAATTTTATTGAAATAAAACTACAAAACGATTTTACTTTGCTATGTACATTTCCGATATATATTATTATGTAATCATTGAAAACAAATTAATGAACATTTCAAACAAATGAGTTATAATATGACACTTTGTATTAAGTGAAGTAGCTTATATTCATATAGCAGCTGCACTTTATAAATGGGCCTATTATTAATTTTTTGTAGTTAAGAATTCTGATAAAAAGTAGGAGTACGATATGGATGCGTCATTGTATACAAATATCAGAGCTGCCAACCATTCTGTTTTTCCTGGAATTACTCCGTTTTTTCTTCCAAATTACAGTATTACGTTTTTTCTTCATAAAATATGTTTTTTAATAATTTTTTTTTTTTTTTTTTTTTTACATACCGCACGTCAAACAACTGCCCTCAAATGGTGATTTGATCACAAATTCAATAGAAAACTAATTTTAAAACATACTTGAAGAGAAAAATATTATAAAAAAAAATGAAATGCCGATATTACCAAAATAATCATAAAAAAAATTACCTGCTTGTATGGTAAAAACAGCATGATGAATGAACATTTCTGCAATGGAAGTGTGTCGCGCATGGTTGTAAGTTTTTTTTTTATGAATTCCTTTTTTTAGCTTGAAATTCCTTTTTTTTGCCATCATGATTCCTTTCTTTGGTCGCACAAGGTTGGCAGCTCTGAAATATACAATACCTTTCGAGGGTCTAGCAAAAACAATGAGCTAATGAAGAGGCATAAATAGTAGCTTTCCCAAGAGAAAAGTTATATCAAATTTACCTCAAGGTAAAGTTACTATTATGCCTCTGAATGCTCATAGTTTGCTAGAGCCAAGAAAGATATTGTATATCTGTTTTATATCCCTCATGAGCATCTCACTATTATACAAACCTAAATACTGCGGCTCGGCCTAAATTGCACGACGTGAGCGCCGTGACACGGTGGGAGTTGCCCGCTAGAAGCATTTGAAATCCTGTATGCTCGCTGAAATCTGCCAGTTTGAAGAAATTGAGGAATTTAGTTATCGATCGCAGATATAGTGGATTCTGGAATGTACTATACCACGCCAAAAGGAGATTATCTCCCGCTCTCAAATTTATAGTGCTCTGTACAATCGTAATGCAAAAAATATACATCAGGGATATAATATTAGCTATTTACTGTAAAATATATTTCCTTTATATATAATTTACCAAAATTTATTTTCAATTACAGAGATAATCTTTTAGCTGAGCATGCTGATAAGACGCAGGATTACCACACTTTAAATGGAAATGTCATGATATTAACTATTTACTATACCGGTATATCTATATATCTATATATCTATCAGGCTATAGTTTATCCAGACGTTGGACAAAGCCCTCCTCATAACATTTCCATTCTCTTCTGTCTCTAGCTGTCCTAGTCCAAGCGGCCGTTCCCATGTATGATGTTAGGTCATCTCTCCATCTTCTCTTCTGCCTTCCTCTTCTTCTCTTTCCCACCCTTGGTTGCCATTCTGTTAAACGATTTGTCCATCTATTGTCCTGAAGTCTTGCTACATGTACATGCCCAGCCCATCTCCACTTTGATTCTCTGACTTTCTCCATGATATCTTTGATCTTTGTTTTCTGGCGTATGACTTTGTGGTTGATTTTGTCTCGCAGAGATAAATGCGACATCTTTCTCTCCATAGCTCGTTGAGTAGTCACAAGCTTCTGTTCTAAATCCTTTGTCAATGACCATGTTTCTGATCCATATGTCATAGTTGGTAGAATGCATTGGTTGAACATTCTTCTTCTTAGTGACATGGGTATCTTTTTATTGGTCAACATGTCTTTGTATCTTCCAAAGTTCATCCATCCTGCTTTTACTCTCATCATAACTTCTTCTTTTGTGGTGTCCTCCATTTTCAAAGTTTGTCCCAGATACCGGTATATACTTCCTTTATATATAATGCCCTACTATATATTATTTCAATTACAGAGATTATCTTCTAGCTGAGTACGCGGATAAGAAGAAGCAGGCCTATAGTTTGGAGGGATGGTCATATTACTCAGAGAAGGGCAATCCTCAACAGCTCAATGGGTCCGATTGTGGGATGTTCTCCTGCAAGTATGCGGAATATATCTCAAGGGATGCTCCCCTTTCCTTCACACAGGTGAGATATTATGATGATGATGATGATGCCAGTTATAATAATGATGACGATCTGGGGAGTGTTTCACAAAGACTAAGATCAACTTTAAGTTGAACTTAACTATGGTAGGCCTTTCATGCCACTAGTTCCTCTAACCATTCTTGGCATCGGTTTCTCAAGGAACGTACAAATCGTGGTCACAAATCTACAGAATTTACCTTTTTTGATAGTTTATTATTGAAGGAAAATTTATTATCTAAAGATCATAATTGAGAGACCAATGATGAGAGCAACCAGTGGCCTGAATGGCCTGCCATAGTTAAGTCCAACTTAAAGTCGATCTTAGTTCTTTGTGAAACACTCCCCTGTGCAGGATTATTTCATAGAGCATCAGGACGTGGTAGTTTATTCACTCCATTTTCATTCAAAGAGGTTGAGGGTTTCAAAGCCCAGCTTGACGCCAGGCTTCTTTGGCAAGTCATTAATTTTAATTAACCAGTAATAATGAAGTGTAGAAAATAAGTTTGTGGCAGGAAGGAGTTCCTTGATTGCTTGAGCAATACAGTTAATAACTAAATTATTCATACTTTTACCAAGATTTGTAATTTTCAGTACGGTATATGAAAAATTGATTAGTTCCAATGTATGTTTCTTTAGAATATAATAGTATAAAATAAAGCTTATTTTTAAAAGTATTCAACAGAGGCCCTAATTCAACCAGTCCACCTTACATTCTTGATTTACAATTCTTAAAAAACACCCAAAAAACAAAAAACAGGGGATATGAATAATTCAGGTGTTAACAGTAATACATGTAGCAGCCATGCTAAGCCAAAGGGTACCGGAGCCCCTAGAGTGGTAAGAATGGCAGTTACAAGCACCATATAAGAATCCACTGTCATAAATTGAATCAATATCCAAATGAGGGTTAGGAAATCGCTACCCTGTCATTGGCTCCTGCTGCCACTATCAGTGGATAGCGGCGAGGAATAGAAACAAGGAATAGATCACAGCATTTCCTAAACATGGGTTGAGGGAGACAGAGACAAAATGGCTTGCCCTAGCAAATATGAACAATTCAAAATCTTTGCATTTTGGTTGAATGTGCGAATGAACTTTATTCCATGCTGTTCCTAGTACAATTCCTGTATATAATAATGAGGAAGACTCTAAAATACAGTGAAACTGATTTTCCTATATAATGATGCTGCATTTTTATTTTCATTCCATACTTCATAATTCATAATCCATAATTCATCTTTGCTTCTGTTTACCCCCTGACAGCATGACATGCCCTACTTCAGGAGAAGGATGGTCTGGGAGATACTTCACATGACCTTGCTGTGACCTTCACTGCATGTTGACCTGCAGGTGACCCGAGGCAGGTAACACATGCCCTCACTGTGACATCCACCATGACATTCATTGCAACCTTCACAGTGACTTTCATCATGATCTTCACAGTAACCTTCATAGAGTCATTTACTGTGATATGTTAGTGACATTCACAACGACATGACCTTGTTGTGACCTTCACTGCATGTTGACCTGCAGGGAACCCGAGGCAGGTAACACATGCCCTCACTGTGACATCCACCATGACATTCATTGCGACCTTCACAGTGACTTTCATCTGAATCTTCACAGTAGCCTTCAGTGTCATTTACTGTGACATGTACAGTGACATTCACAACGACCTTCATGGTGACCCTCACTGATATTCAGTTACCTTCACAGTGACCTTCACAGCTAGTGACCTTCACAGAGACCTTCACAGCGACCTTCACTGTGCTCTTCATGGTGACTTTCACAGCGGAGCTCTCTGATTTGACCTATTGGTTCTAGATGCCGATGACTATTAACTGTCAAAGTGACTTTCAAGCAATGAGTATATTTGATCTCTCTTGTCATTTGACTGTCACTTCAAATCAAGAGCAGTGTGATTCAAGCAGGACTGGACGCTGGAAACGAAATGGGGTCATCGGACTGGATGATTCTGTGATTGCATGGAAATTGTATATAGTGTAAATCTTGAGCACAGATATCAAAGTAGTGGGAAGATGAAACTTTTATGTCTCTCTCTATCTTCCCCCCTCACTTTCCCTCTCTCTCTCCCTCTCTCTCCCTCCCCTCTCTTTCTCTCTCTCTCTCCCTCTCTCTTTCTCTCTCTCTCTCCCCCCTTCTCTCTCCTTCATAACAAAAGGAAAAGAGGAATAACTTAAACATACATCTTTTATAAAGAAAGAGACAATTTAATCAAGCATGATTGAACTCAACTTGATAACAAAATTGTATATTTCTGAATTGTATATCATCAAGGTATTCCTCCATTGTTGCATGTTGCATAAGGGAATAGACTATATTGGGTAGTAGACGACCTGGTTGTAGACCAAACTGCAATTCACCGTTTGCTAGAGCCATCTTATATAAGGCAAAGTCACTTTCGGTGTTTGCAACAGCTAGACTTAAGACAAAGATGAAATAGATTCAGGATTATTTTTTTTTAGTTCAAATTAACTTATAACTCAATGAAATGATCATGATTTCCTTCGACCTTGTCCAATTTAATGTGGATCAAATGATGGTTTTTCAGATGAATGGTCACAATTAAATTTGTTAAATTCAGGGGTGTTATTCATGAAGCATGGGGTCAGTTTGAAATGAATGGACCTCGTATCACACACCTAAGAGGGCGACAGTTATTGATAACAGGTTTTACGAAACGGGGCTCAATTATGATTGTCCAGTTTTACTGGGTACCAATGAAATTGCTTTTTATATCAGATCCTTGTTTAATCAAAGCTAAATAAAACAATAGTATACAAATAAAGAAGTAAAATTGGTAGAATTACCATATTCCATGTATAATGAGAGTTTACTCTCCTTGTAAGGAGACACCACTGTGTCAGTACCATAAAGAATATCAAAAGCTGAAATGGATTTTAAGTTTTTCAACCAAAATACCACATTCAGTAATTTGTCTGAAATTTCAATTAAAAATGGTATCTATTGACAGATTTCATACATGACAGCATTCAAGGTGAAATCTGCACAGTGCTATACAAAAGAACAAACATGAAAAAGGGGGCTTTGCATTAGGAGAAACAATTTACATGATTGGGCATTGATAATAACCACAAATTTCATACTCTACAATGTAGGGCTACATCATCATAGAGATTAAATTGCGGTAAAAGAGGGGTTCTTCACAAAGGATTTATTTATTTCGAAATTCTCATGATTACCACATGTCTCTTTGCCATGATACGCAATATCAATCAAGGAAGCCAACAGTATATAAATCGGGCCTGTTCACACATAACAATTAGTGCTATTTGGATCGCGATGCTAACATCGTTTTTTTTTTGCGACCGATCACACATGTCAATTTAGTGCGAATTGGATGCAAAGATTGATTTTTGGGGGGCGGCCATTCATACACAGAAAATTTTCGCTCAGTGGCAAGAACGTCCAAAATGCCCGTGTGTAAATCTCGACGTTGTACAAGTGCTTGGAATTCTGGGATTAAATAAGGTAATATTTTATTCTCTATACCATTCACACACTCAGCGCCCGGCAAACTATCATGATTATTCTGAAAAATCGCAAGACTTACTGCGAATTTGATTGAGATGCGAATCGCAGAGATTAATTCAATTATTCTGTCCACACACGCGAAAAAAAAACGATGTTTGGATCGCGATGCAAAAATAGATTTTCAAATCTCACTTTTTTTGCTGTAGGTGTGAACGACCTTGTATTAAATCCAAGGTTAAGTCATTCCCTACCCACTACTAACTTATTTGATTTAACTTTACTTGATCTAACTTAATTTATATTTCAGTATTCTCTGGCTCTTATTTATGCAATCATGCAAACATTGCCTATCTCCAGCTGGGTCCTAGCAAATTCATCTCATAAAAAGAAAATCATTTGCAAAGACTTGAGCTTTCCAGGAAATTGTAATTTAGGAAGGGTGTGGTGCATTGTGAGCTTAATCTAACTTGATGGAGGTCTTGGGTCATTTTTATTATTATTATTATTGGGTTCAGTTGAATAGATAATTTCCTCTGTTTGGAGCAAGAAGGGCATTAATTCAAAACAATTTACATAGTGTTATAGAGAAGGTTGAGCTCTGGGGAGAGGTGAAAAATAATTTGTGAGCGTTATCATTCTTATTATGCAAGTATGGAAGAACATCGGAGAAAAAATGTTCCCTGAAAAGCGTGGCTCTTCAAATGCCTTCATAATCTAAATATGATAAGTAACAGCTTAAAAATGAGACCCGATTTTTATGCCACATGTTCATGTAGTCACAGTGCTTGTTACTTTACCGAGACGGGCCAATTCTCTTATCATTTTGATGATTCCAGAACCTTGCAGTACACCCAAATACTTATATGCTAGATGATCAACCTTTTCTGATCAATTCCACACCGTTTCTTACACAATGCAATCCCATGACCAAAACTCAATTTTTTCTTTAACTCCCTTCAGGCTTCAGACATACAATTTATGCTAAAAAGACGGTGGTTTAAATCAGTGCGTCACATAACTTCATAATAATAATAATAATATTGAGCTTTTATATAGCGCTTAATGCAATGTCTCTAAGCGCTTTACAAATATACTATTACCCTGGTCATTGGATTCAGTGCTTGCCCGCACACAATATGGGCGTTAATTCAGGTCATGATATTGGCATCTTTGCAACTCTTTTCAGTGAATCTTTGCCTATTGCCTATAAATTGATTAAAATCGTATATCTAAAATGGTATTTCTTAAAAAGGTTTCCAATCTCAAAAATGATGTTGGATAAAAAATAGAAACCATACGAGAATCTGTGCAGAAGACACCTCCCACACTGATTGACAATTGACATCATGGATTGATGGAATAAAACAATTAATTAAGGGTAGTGGTGCTAGTAGAGTTTGACACATAGAAGAAACTCATATCTATCAGATATTGCCAATCGTAAATGTATGTATACATTCAGTAGAATGTGATATCATTTGATTGATACGAGAGAGAGAGAGTAAACAAATATTGTACAATAAATGCACAAACTGATAAATTTTGTCTGTTTCTTCTTTATTTTTTGTTTATCTTTCTACTTGCCATCAAGCAATACAAAAAGTAAAGTTGTGAGAATTTCTTTTTATAAGAGGAGTATAACACAGGACTATTCAGTTCTGGACACTGGTATTTTTTTTCTTCAGTTTCATTCATTTCTCCTGAAGAGATCAACAGATAAAAGTACATATGTAAACAGACAAATGTATGACAATACATCAGATGAATTTTAAAAGTGAGGAAGGCAGTGGCCCAAAAGAAAACAACCTTTTAAGAGGCCAACCCTTTAAGAAAACAAGATATAATATGTAACATAAAAAACATCAAAAAGGAACATAAAATATGAAGAGGAAAGAAGTACCTAACCTAATAAACAAACTAACAAAAGAGCGTAATATTGAATCTAATATTTAGATAATAAATATACTTTATATTTCCTTCTAAAAAAAATATATATGCAGCACATGTACGTGTACTTTGCGAAAATAATTCGGCTAATCTCTCCTGTCATTAATTGAATAGATCAGAGTTTTCAAGAAAGAAGACTTCTCTGGGATGTCCCTGTACCTGCATTTCAACATACACATCAGAATCTCGTGGAAGGTAGGATGTCTCAAAGCATATACGATCGGATTGACGCATACATTACACAGGAAGAGAATGGTAAACCAAGGAACGGCAGGGTCACTGGTTGGTATGAGGTAGGAGACGGCTGGAGGCATCACGCAGATCGTATAGACACAGACAATGATGAAGAGGTTGATGGTTATCTTGCGCTGTTGCTTGTAGCGAACTTCCTGACTCTCCCTTGCCAGTGTGTCTCGAGTGATGATTTGAACTGTTGGTTGCGTCGTCGTGCCGGAAGGCGATGTGGTTGTGGATCCGGTTCGGTCTGGATTCGGCGCTTTTTGAGGTGCTTTCGAATGTTTCCCATTTTTCATTGGTTCAATTTCATGAAGCTCTTCTGCGTCAGACGGCTCTGTTAAGATTTCCCGATCTTCAGGGGGCGAGGGTTTGATGCCGTCACTTTCATCAAACCCAGGATTGATGGTGCCATCTTTAGGAGCATCTGGTTGTTCTTTCGACAAATCCTCAGTGATTGTGATGTTGACTTCGCTATCTCCATTTGTCATTGGTTCAATTTCATGAAGCTCTGCTGCGTCAGACGGCTCTGTTAAGATTTCCCGATCTTCAGGGGGCGAGGTTTTGATGCCGTCACTTTCATCAAACCCAGGATTGATGGTACCATCGTTAGGAGCATCTGGTTGTTCTTTCGACAAATCCTCAATGATTGTGATGTTGACTTCGCTATCTCCATTTGTCATTGGTTCAATTTCATGAAGCTCTGCTGCGTCAGACGGCTCTGTTAAGATTTCCCGATCTTCAGGTGGCGCGATTTTGATGCCGTCACTTTCATTAAATCCAAGATTGATGGTGCCATCGATGGGAGCATCTGGATTTTCTTTTGACAAATCCTCAATGATTGTGATGTTGACGACTTCGCTATCCGTCGTCGAAATCATGACCGAAGGGGCCATGATAGCGTTCATCTCTTGTTGATGACGCCTGAACATTTTGAAGATATTGAAATAGCAGACGATGATGACGATAAAGGCGGGAAACTGAATGAGGAGACACACTGTCAGGGTTAGATAGTCTGAATTGTCATTCTCTGTATTCTGCGCGCATACTTTGTACTGAAGAGCATAGCCAAGGGACCCAACGTCCAGTGGTAATATGATAAACATGAGAACAATTGGGTAGAGCCAGGTAAAGGAAACCATTATCACGATATTCCGAGTGCTAAATGCGTTGTTGAATTTGGGTTGAGGTTTCAAAATTGCGTTGAGGACGGTGAAGCGATGGAAGGCGATCGCGGCTAAGGTAACAACGCTGCACCCGAGTGTGGTGAGGGTGGCTGCTGCTACGAACTGGCAGAGCAGCTCCGGGATGTAACAACTTGATTTATTCAAGAGCGTGGAGGCGTGAACAGGGAGGAACATAGCTGTCAAAAAGTCTGCGACGGCCAAGTTGATGACGAAAACATTTGTGGTGTTCTGAAGTCGTTTGGAGAGGATGACGGCGGCGACGACGAAGAGATTTCCAAGGATTCCGATCAGGAAGATGACGAGGACTAGGAGAGCTAAGATGACACGGGGAGCGTAGTCGTGTAGAATGTACTCACCAGGTTCAATGTTAAAAGTCATGTTACAGACGGTGATCTTGTCCTGTCCTGTCCCTTCATCATAAACAAAATAATCGTCTGGTGACATGGTTGTAGAGATTCGTTGTCAGTGACCAATGCTCAATCTTTGCTTTGATATCCCGAATGAGGTTTCAAAGGGATTGCGTCGTGAGGATTTTTGCTATGACTGCAGAGATGGAGTCAAACAACCTTCTACGTTGTCTTTGTCAGGTAGTCCTCCACTTGATTCGTTGGAAATTTAAAGAACTCTTGTCCTCGGACCGTCACAGGTGATCTTCCTGTGAAGCAAATAAGAACGTTTATTATAGAGGGAGGTGTGAATGGGGAACACAAGAAAAGTACACTCAGTACAAAACATGTAAAAAGAACAGATTCAAGAAAAGCCTATAGCCATATCTCGGAGACTTACTGAACAATGAATGACTGCGGGTGTTCGTTCAGTAAATACGTGAACAACCAAGTTAAACTATTATACATGCTAACATGTAGTTTTTAAAGCTTCTGCCAACCTTAAATTATACATACTGCTTGCCTCACAAATGCACGGAAAACCAGCAGTCAATTATCATCCATAATATACGGTTTGATGTTACCTGAAAGTGTATTATCTGTATTAGTCTAGTCATGACTTTGTACAACAATTTATTCAACGTTGCTTTACCCCATAAGCCTTAGGAAAAACTAATCAAGGAATCTATGTTGATAGTAATCACCCCTGATAATCATCTTGAGTAAAATGTGCGGAGATATACGGGTAGAATTACTTTTTGGCTAATACCATCGTAATGACAGTCACAAATATTATGACATATAAACACATTAAAAGCACAAACTGTCTTACCATAATAGTCTTTTGCGTCGTTACAGAGACATCGATCGTCGGAGACGGTTCCAAATTGTAAAAAAAGAAGAGCCGCCAGTAGAAGTACAACAGAAGCAGAAGTAGATTATAAATAAAACACAATATTTTACATGTATTAGTTCCGACCTGTTTTTAATGGACAGTAATACACCACAAGTCATGACCTGCAGTCCTGCACAAATACATCTTTACTCTTCTGTATCGGCTTTCCCCACAAATTGTATTCAGATCGCCTGTTTGCTTCAGGAGCTAACCCACACAATACAAGTAGGCCTATCATTGCAGAATTTGGAGCTCAATACAAATAGTGTGTATTGAAATTCTTTGTACTTGAATGGTAGAAACACCAAACTCTTTCATTTTGTCCATGCTGCATTTACGCCCAGTCAAGCGGAACTTTCATGACACATATCGTAGAATATTATTATGGTTCAGTTGAATGAGGAGTAATTCAATGGTTTTCAGAGAGAGGTCGACCGATATATAGAGATAGAGAGACAGAGAGAGAGAGAGAGAGAGAGAGTTGGGGGGGGGGGGGGGGTCGAATGTCCGAAGGGAAATTCCACATTTTAAAAGTTAGTGCAACCCGTATAAATGAATTATTTTACATTCAACAAAATGTATTAATTATCCTATAAAAAGGAGAAGACAAAAGAAAAAGAAGAAGAAGAAGACGGAGAAGAAGATGAAGAAGAAAAAAAGAAGAAGATGAAGAAAAAGAAGAAGATGAAGAAGAATATCAAGAAATATGAGAAGTAGAAGGAGAAGAAAGAAGAAGGAGGAGGAGGAGAAGAATTACAACAGCAACAACAACAAGGAGAGGGAGAACAAGATTATTTTTTTAAAGAAGAAATTACGAGTTTCACTGTATGGGTAAGTTCAAACTTACACGTATAGGCCAGCTACGGAAAGACACTTTGGGTTCTAGGACACCTACCCCCTGAACATCCACCCCCGGATAACCGCCCGAGTCAACTACCCCCTAGGACAACTACCCCCTAGGGCAACCACCCTCCAGGACAACTACCACCTTGGGCAACCACCCTCTAGGACGACTACCCCCGGGTCAACCCAGACAACTACCCCCGGACAGTGTCATTTACTGTGTCATGTACAGTGACATTCACAACAACCTTCATCGACCCTCACTGATATTCAGTGTGACATTCATTGCTACCTTCACAGTAATAATAAGTAAGCGCTTTACAGATATATTATTACCCCGGTCATCGGATTCAGGCTTACCCGCACACAATGTGTGCACATTTTCCACTCCCTGGGGAGCATTCCAGCCAGTCGCCATTTTACAGGCGCACACTTGCTCGTTCAACCACATGAACGTTCGCATCCTACCGGGTACCCATTTAACACCTGGGTGGAGAGTAGCAAGTGCAGGTAAATATCTTGCCAAAGGATATTAGTGCCGTGTCGGGATTCGAACCCTCGACCTTCGCATCTACAGTCAAGCGCCTTAAACCACTCGACCACGACACTCCCGACAGTAACTTTCATCTTGATCTTCACAGTAACCCTCACAGTGTCATTTACTGTGACATGTACAGTGACCTTCACAGCGACATTCATGGTGACCCTCACTGATATTCAGTTACCTTTACAGTGACCTTCACAGCGACCTTGAGATCTCCATGGGGACTTTCACATTGGAGCTCTCTGATTGGACTTAATAAGATGCTGCTGACTATGAACTGTCAAAGTGACTTTCAAGCAATGAGTATATTTGATCTCTCCTGTCCTTTGACTGTCATTACAAATCAAGAGCAGTGTGATTCAAGCAGGACTGGACGCTGAAAACCAAATATGGTCATCGGACTGGATGATTTCGTGATTGCATGGAAATTGTATAATAGTTGTAAATCTTGAGCAAAGATATCAAATTAGTGGGAAGATGAAACTTGTCTTTTATGTCTCTCTCTCCCCCCCCCCCTTCCCCTCTCTCTCTCTTTCTCTCTCTCTTTTTCTCTCTCTCTGAGTCTCTCTCTATTTTTAAATACTTTTCTTTCTCTTTCTTTCTTTCTTCTCATCTTCTCTAGACTAGTTATCATCTACTCATAAAGGGTAAATTATATTATGTGCAAAAGGGAGATAAGATTACGATTTGGAGAAAGAGAATGACGATGATGATGTTGCAGTCATTGATGATGTTGATGATGATGACCAATGTGACAATCATGTCCAAACAGGTTTTAGGACTAATACGTATACTTAAGCTATAGTTGCTAGCTATATTTTTGAAAAATGGATATTTGCAATGTTAGATCTCTTTATCCACGTTCACACATTTATATCGTCAAATTATTTGAGGAAACAATTCCCTCTAAAGACAATAATTGGTACGAACCGCAGGGGCGTATAATAAATTTCTCAAGATACGCTGTCAAAAGACCATTCTGAGCCCGTTCAATAAAACAGTGGCATATTTAGTGATGGCCTATATCGTATCCGAACACTTACCCCTGGACATTCACCCCGGATAACCATCCCCAGTCAACTACCCCCTATATACATGTAGGACAACTACCTCCTAGGGCAACCACCCTCTAGGACGACTACCCTCGAGACAACGACTCCCTAGGACAACTCCCCCCTAGGACAACTACCCCCAAACAACTACCCCCAGTCAAATACCCCCTATAGGACAACTACCTCCTAGGGCAACCACCCTCTAGGACGACTACCCCCGGGAAAACTACCCCCGGACAACTTCCACCAGACAACTACCCCCTAGGACAACTACCCCGGACAACTACCCCCAGTCAACTACTCCCTATAGGACAACTACCTCCTAGGGCAACCACCCTCTAGGACGACTACCCCCGGGAAAACTACCCCCGGACAACTACCACCAGACAACTACCCCCTAGGACAACTACCCCCTAGGACAACTACCCCGGACAACTACCCCCAGTCAACTACCCCCTTGGATAGGTTTCCGGGGGTACGTTGTCCCAGGGGGTAGTCGTCCTAGAGGATGGTTGCCCCAGGGGGTAGTTGTCTTAGGGCGTAGTTGTCCTAGGGGGTTGTTGGCTGGGGGTGGTTATCTGAGGGTGGATGTCCAGGGGGTAGGTGTTCTAGAACCGGCCTATATCGAGAAGACCTGTATCATGGCAGGGGGTTAGTCTGCAAGCACAAACCCTGGTCAGTCGTAAAAGTTAGTCTGCACTAAAAGACTACCGTAGACCATGCACTGTAGCTGCTCCTGACAACCAGTAGGCAGCTGGGCTAGGCTTCTCTCAAGACACAATGATTTTTTGATAAAGTGTCAAATTAGGGTCTGTGCTTGCAGACTAGGAGGGGTTGGGGCAAATATCTTATTCTATGGGTTTTTCCTGTATACTGTCCCCTTCTGTCTATCTGCATCTCTCTCTCTCTCTCTCTCTCTCTCTCTCTCGCCAAATGGAAAGCAATTGAAGAGGGGGTTGCATTGGCCACATAATGCAACTGCGAACAAGAGCTATATAGTCCAGATTCTAGGGTCCGTTTTTATATACTTTTAATTCTTCAGTCATCTATGTCCTCCTCATTTCCAACTCCCTGCTCACCCACATTCCACATACAAAAAAAATACACACATCGAAAATGAGAGGCAATTAGGACTGTCTTCGGTGTAGCGTTGAGGGTGTGTTATTTTCTCAGCTGATTTATGGGCTGTCGCGACACGGAAACAGATCAAGAAGTGGACTAACAAGAGAGCCCGTGTGCTGAACCGTGGTTTAGCACCTATCGTTAACACCCCCGCAATGTCAACACCTTTTGTCTATCGAAGGCAGCACTCCTGTTTGGGAAGTATAGGGGATTTCCCTAACTATTATACCGCATGTGATATCATATGGTACGTATGTGATATCATATGAATATTCTTCCATTCGGGCAACAACATAAAATTGTATTGTTCATTCTGCTACATTAATTGTGGAGCTATCTAAATATCAATATAAATTTGCTAGCCGCCTACAAGAACAAAAAAAAAAAAAAAAAAAAGGATAAAATTCACTGCATTGCATTGCAATAAGTCTGGTGATTATGCTCAGATAAATAGCATATTATGTGAGCCAATCTACATTCTTTTTTAAAACGAGATTTCGTGGAATCTTTATAAATCTAGCTAAATAGAGGCACTGACGTACGAGGGGTATACGGCGGAGGTCTGGCGGCTATACGGTACAGAACCCAATAATGATATTGGCCAGCCTCTATCTCATACATAATTGTAAAGAGCCATTAATTTATAGTTTTCATGTGCTAGTTTTGATGACAATCACATTTTCAATTAACTAATTTTTGGGCTAAATGCGTGCTCACTTCGCTCGCCCGCAAAGGCTCTTCAATATCACAATATCCTCTTAAACCAGTTCTTGAATAATGAATGTTCTCACCATTTAATTCTTCAAATTCAAATAATATTTTCTTCAACCAGTAGCAAGTACTTATACCAGGCACAGAATGATAGTCTTTCATGCCCCCACCATTCTATAATATTGCAAAAACTTAATTCAAAAGAGAAAAAGAGGGAAACACGACGTCATGAACCTTGTTATAAATTTGAAACCTTGTGAAAATATAACAACTCAGAATTACAATGACATGATGTGTTTTACAATGAAGACAACATTCTATTGCCAATCGATCAAGACAGCAGAAGGGGCCTTCTTCTGATTTATTTGTTTTAATTGAGGGTGCGCGCAGGGCTTGGTATACAGCCCTACCTCGCTGTTTTGCGGATGCTCAAAAAGTTCATTAACCCGACCTGACATAACACTGGGAAAAAATGAACTGTTTTATATTGAAAGATAAAAATGTTAACAAATTGCTCATTTTTCGGCTTACAAGCGCTTCTCTTGAATATACAAAAATATATCATATAACTTGGAGGGGGCGGGACATCACTACAATGTACCTTATGGCGAGAGAATAAAAAAGAGAACCAGGAAGGCTTTGTTTAAAGTATTATGAGTTAACGCCCCTCGGGCTATCAACAGAGGTCATATTCTAAAGTTGAGGCAATCCTCCTTGGTGAAACAGGCCACCAACTATAGAACGAGATGCAATCATTATTATAACTCCGTCTGCGTAAAACAATTAAGTCGCATTCAACATTACAGATCAAGACGAATCGCACAGAAAGTTGGTTTTGAACAACATTTGCTCGATGAAAGTACGCAGGAATAAGTCCTCCCTGTCAGCACACTTTTACACATACAATCATGCATGAATGCTTAATTCACATTTTATTGACAAGCGAAGGCCTAAGTACGATATTCAAGTTCTATTTGTTGGCAAATTTGCCTGGCTTACTTAAAAACGAAAATACTGGCAACGATTATTTTGTAACGGTACAATATATGATTTATGTACCCTGAGGTGTAAATGAAATAATAATAGAATTTTCAATAGTCAACAGGAATTACAAGATATGCGTGAAGTGTTTGTTTTTTCTTCTTCTTCCTCTTTCGGTTCTGCAACACAGGCTTCGCTTCGCCTTTGATACGAGATCAATTTCGAACACTCGGCGAATTCTAAACTTCAACTCTCTAACCACCATTATCCCAAACTCTATCGCTAATTAAAACTGTTGCTGGAGCAAAAGTCTGACCACCTCATATTCATGATGATTTCTTTTGTCATTTCTAGGAGAGTGAAGTCGACCTCAGGAAGGATGAAGGCTCTGGAATGTCTCTAAACCTACATTTCACCATGCACTTGAGAACGGCGCTAAAGGTTGGATGCCTCAAAGCATATATGATTGGATTCACGCATGAGTTGAGCAGAAAGAGTAACGTAAGCCAAGGTATGGCTGGACCTGTGGATGGTATGGGGAAGATGATAGCTGATGGCATCACGCAGATTGTATAGACGCAGACAACGATGAATAGATTGATGGTTATCTGACGCTGTTGCTTGAAGCGAACATTCTGCTTGTCTCTAGCTAGAGTGTCGACAGTGATGGGCTGACGAAGAGCTCTGGGTTGCACCGAGTTGGTCGATGATTCACTGGTTGTATGGCCGTTCGGGTTTGGGCATTCTCGAGAGACGGGAGAGTGTTTTCCATTTGTTATTGTTTCACTTGCGTCGGAAGGTTCTGCTAAGATTTCCCGATCTTCAGGTGGCGCGGTTTTAAAGCCGTCACATTCATCAAAGCCAACGTTGATGATACCATCGTTGGGAGTATCCGATTCTTCCATTGGCAAGTCTTCAATGATTGTAACATTGATTTCACTATTGGTAGAGGCCATCCTATAGGGTGAGGGCGCCATAATGGCGTTCATCTCGCGTTGATGACGCCTGTACATTTTGAAAATATAGACGTAGCAGACGATGATGACGACGAAGGCGGGAAACTGAACGAGCAGACACACTGTCAGGGTCAGGTAGTCGGAATCATTACTCGCTGTGTCCTTCGCGCATACTTTGTACTGGACAGCGTATCCAAGGGACCCAATGTCCAACGGTAATATGATACACATGAGAACAATTGGGTAGAGCCAGGTAAACGAAACCATTATCACGATATTCCGGGTGCTAAATGCGTTGTCGAACTTTGGTTTTGGTTTTAAAACGGCGTACAGGACAGTGAAGCGATAAAACGCCACCATTGCCAAGGTGACAACGCTACACCCGAGCGTGATTAAGGATGCTGCCGCTACAAACTGGCAGAGCAACTCCGGGATGTAACAACTAGATTTACTCAAGAGCGTGGAGGCGTGAACGGGAAGGAACATAGCTGTCAAAAAGTCTGCGACGGCCAAGTTGATGACGAAAACGTTTGTGGTGTTCTGGAGTCGTTTTGAGAGGATGACGGCGGCGACGACGAAGAGATTTCCAAGGATTCCGATCAGGAAGATGACGAGGAGTAGGAGAGCTAAGATGATACGGGTAGCGTAGTCTTGAAGAATATAGTCACCCGTTTCAATGAAAAATGTTATATTGCAGAGAGTGATGTTATCATATCCTATTCTTGCACCAAAAGACAAAGTCTCAAAATCATCTGCTGTCGCCATAGTTGATGAGCGTTCTGTATATATAAAATATCTTCGGCCTTTAATTCACCTCCAAATTAATCTTCGACGGCACCGCTTAATAGAAACAGGATTGTGTCTTCAATGTGTAGTTTGGCTATAATGTTAAAGATCATCATAGATGTCCCATGGCTCAAAATACTGATGTCAAGTTGTATCTGACGTAGAACCTAAGCGTTATAGATGTAGCCTTTCTTCGACGGTTTCAGAATAGGATGATTTGACCAAAAGGGAAGTATGTCTTCAGAAAGTCTTCAGAGATATCCCATGGAAATATCAATGTCAAGTTGTCTTTGACGTGGAAATAATACGAGCCGAGGTGAATTCTTCCTCAGGGCCTTGATAGACACAGATGAATGTTCTGCAAGATACAATGATTTCATCTTTAGTGCATCGGTTGATAAGTTTAGCCCTTTTTTTTATTATTCCGAACTCATCTTTAACATTACAGAATAAGATTCTCTTTTAATATGAATAGGGTGTCCCACAGGGCTCTTAAATGGGATCGTTCATATTTTTGCTATATTATTGTGGCATAATCAATGAATCAATGCATTATTTGCTGTTTTATTTTCGTATTCATAATTAAATTGGGGATTTAAGACAATATTAGCTCCCCGGAATGCCACTCCGAGAATTACCCTATAGGCCAAAATGACTCCCGGACAACTATTCTTTGACCGGATACTGCCAGACAACTACCCCGATAACTATTATCTTTGTTGGCAGATTTATCAAATTGAAGAAGTTATTCGCAATATCTGATGAGGAGTACAAAATAATTATCCCGTGGAGGTATGGTTATCCTCCAATGGGGAGGGGGGGGGGGGGGGGGAGGTAAAGGAGGTCCTAGTGGAGTAGCTGTATGTGGGTTGTTGTATTACAATGTGATAATATCCACTCATAATTATCAGGAAAATTATTCAAAACACAGGGTTGGTATTAAAATTTACCAAGTATGTATCTTCATGATTTGTTTCCGATCAAATATTAGCTAAATGAACATAAGAATTTCTAAATGACTTTACACAAAGATGAGACTTGTAAAGCATTATAAGAGGGTATTATGTGAGTTATACAACACTTTATCAGCCTTGATGGACTTTACACCAATGCATAAAAAGACGTTCATGAATAGTAACCACATTTATGGATGATTGTTAATGTTATTACATAGAGGAAGGGTATTTTCTACATAGGGGGCACTAGGCCTACCGTAGCTTTTAGTTTTCGAACCGTCGAATCATCTTAAATTTCAAAAAATGATCTATACAATTATACAAAAGGGAAATTCGATTCAAATTTAATAAGGTTTATGTATCTAAACTATCTAAACTACTTTCTTGTATAAAAGGGCCCCTTTACATTGCCAGTAGTATTTACTTGCCGAAATTAATTTTCTTATGACCTTAAACTGAAACAAGGTAAATAACAGAGAGAAAAAAATAGAGATATTATATAGCATAAGGAGGGACATGCATCGTATTGGTAAATATTTGTTTTGCTGTTCTGGAGGAGCTCATAGTTTTAAGGACTGGTCCTGATGACTCTCTCTAGTTCTATTTGAAGCATGTTAAGTGAAGTCATCATATGATAGTTCTGTTTTCAAAATATACCAGTGGAATCCACCCTCGAAGTAGTAACTTAACCACTATTTTGAGAATGTATTTCACTAAAATATAATTTGTAGTGGATTCAACTTTATATTTACTATGTCCCATTTGCAGGCCAAAAAATGAAAAAGTTAAATTCCAACTGCATTTGAAAGATAATACTAATATAGAATTTCCCTAAAAAGTTGGGGCTTGAAAATGTCTTCAAGTGGGAAAATAACGACTATTAGTTGTCAAATCGACTTTAGGGCTATAGAGCCCAAAAGTAATAGTCTTGATTTTCAGACAATTGTACCGAATGGTCATACGTTTTATGCTGCGCAAAGATTCAATCAGTTTAATCTTGGCCATCACAAGAAGTGGGTTATTGATGTAGACAAATGCTCATGTACCCTTTACAACTCTTTTCATGTATGTTATTACCAAAGAAGAAAAAAAAAGCCAGTCAGTCACTCAATAGTGTCTGACAGTGAAGTCTAGCAAGTAAACGGGTTTCCTTGCATAATTTGAATATGAGGACACTGCTAACGTTTAAATTTCACAGATAGGACATACATGACATATTCATAATTCCTGCAAAGTTCTACAGAATTTGAGGTTGGCTGCAAAAGGGACATAGTACCTTTAAACATGCTAAATAAATTCATCAGTATTGTGACTCTCCTCTGAATCTATGTGCAAATTGCTCCTAAGAAATTACATAATTATTTACTGAAATAAGTTTTAATATTCAGAACATGACTGTACATGTATACATGTATACTAAATAAGCGAACAGAGATAAGTTAACTACCAAACATCTAATCATTATTGGTAATACCAATTGTTCGTAAATACTGAATACAGTATGTATAATTACCGAAATTATTGTGCCCCCCCCCCCATCGAATGGCGAACTATATATTTCAAAAAAGCAGAGAGAGAGAGAGAAAGAGAGGTGAGGGGAGGGGAGAGAAAGAGAGAGAGAGAGAGAGAGAGAGAGGGGGGGGGGGAAGAGACAAACAAAACAAAACAAAGCGATAATTACAAATCAGACTTACCATCATGATCCTCTTGTCAGATACAACAAATTTACATTATTTTTAATCTGCCCAACGCACAGAAATGGCTCACCAATTAAGAATGAAGTCAAATATCCCAAGAGCTAAGAGCACTGTTCAACTTCGCTTCTAACCCTCTACTGCACGGCAAAATTCATGTAGCGCAAGTCAAGTTTCATAACGTCGACTGTTAATTCAACAATACAGCTGAAATATGACGGGTTTGGACATATTTGGGCTACACGATCAAACAAAGAAAGCAAACATAGTAATGTCGTTGTTTGTATAGATCGGGTTTATAACAAACATTTCCTTTTGATCACGAAGAAACTCGCATTTTCAACTATTATAGTTCCTCTATTATGGTTTCATTTTCATTTTTTTCATTTCATTTTATTTCATTCGTCATATAAAAAACATACATGATTAAAACATTGATATTTACAGATAAGTAAAGTACATACAAATAACATAACGAAAGACAAACATAAAATACATATATATATATATATATACGAATGAGGAACCAGCAAGAAAGAACATTTAAGTCTTGTGTGGGGCTGGTCCCTAGCGACAATTTTAACCTATAAAACTTAACACCTAACACATAACAACTAACACCTAACATTTAAAACCTGATTGCATATATAAAAACTAATAAAATACTATTCACAAAAACGTAATTGTTTGTATCTTCTTTTAAATGTATTCAGAGTTGGGCTTGATTTAACGTTAGGAGGTAACTCATTCCATAAAATTGGTCCTTTAAAGAAAATTGAATTTTTAGAGACAGAAGTTTTGATAAGTGGTAAATGAAAATGAGATGATTGTCTAGTTATATATGAATGTACTTCAGAATTTAAAAGAAATTTGTTTGATAGACTAGGAGGAATAATACCTTTATGACATAAAAACATAAATATAACAATATTATAGTCATTCAATTCAAATACATTAAAACATTTAAAACGGACAAAAATAGGTTTTGTATGGGCAAGATAATGGGATCCTGAGATAATACGTATTGCCTTCTTTTGTTATTTATATAATCTATTCATACAATAATCATTTGAATTTGCCCAAACAATATTGCAATAATTCAATTGTGATAAAAACAATGCATTGTATATCATTAATAAAATCTTATAAGGGAATTGTTTTAATTTGTATAAAATACCAACTACCTTCGAGAGTTTATTACAAATTGCTTCAATATGAACGTGCCATGACATTTTATAATCAATTTGAATTCCTAGAAATGTCAATGAACTACAACGCTGTACAACATTTCCATTAATCTTTACTTCAATATTATCAGTTCTAATGTTTTTGTTTGTAAAAATTATATAATTAGTTTTCTTTACATTTAGGATTAATTTATTAATATTCAACCATTGAGAAATGTTTTGAAGCTCATCATTAAATCGTATCACTAATCTATCTACATCGTTATCAGACAAAAATAAACTTGAATCATCGGCAAACAATATACATTGTAATATTTGTGAAGCCTGAGTAATATCATTCATGTATACAAGAAATAATAAGGGTCCCAATATCGAGCCTTGAGGCACTCCACATCCAATGGTTTTAAAATCAGATTCAATGTTATTAAAAAGAACATATTGTTTTCGGTTTGTTAAATAGCTTTCAAACCATTTTAACAAAACACCTCGTATTCCATAATTAAACAATTTATCTAAGAGAATTTTATGATCCAACGTATCAAATGCCTTACTAAGATCGAGAAATATTCCTAACATAATTTGTTTTTTATCTAAGGCATTTGAAACTTTAAAAACAAAATCAATTAGTGCAGAGGATGTGGAGTGACCAGCTCTAAAACCATATTGACTATCCGATAATAAATTACATTGGTTCAAAAAATATATCAATCTATTATAAAAACATTTTTCTAAGATTTTTGAAAATACTGGCAAGACTGATATTGGTCGATAATTACTCATTGTTTCCAATGATCCATTTTTATATACAGGAATAACTTTTGCTATTTTTAACTTTTCCGGAAAAATACCTTGATTCATAGATTCATTAAAAATACGACACAGCGGATAGCATATAATGTGAACAACCCTTTTAACGATGACAATATCAATTTCATCATAACCAGTGCTTGATTTGCTTTTCAAGTCACAAACAATATCTATAATTTCTTTAGTTGTAATAGGGTTAAAAAAGGCAGTTACATTATTGCTTTCTAGATATTGCATATGATTATTATTTCCAATCAAAGTATTTTGAACATTATTTCTCAAAGAAGCACCTATATTAACGAAATAATTATTAAACTCTTGAGCAATGCATAAATCATCTGTAATACGTTCATTATTAACTTGAATGTGTTCAATATTTGTATCACGAGTCTTAAATGAATTTCCTATAGCTTTATTTATTAACTTCCACGTTTCTTTCATGTCACATTGCACATTTTGAAACTTGTTTTTAAAATATTCATATTTCACATGTTTAATTTCACGGTTCAACTTATTTCTATACATCTTATACACACTTTTTCTATAGTCAGTGGGATTTTTTAAGTATTTTTTTATACAACTTGTAT